TATGATGGATCATCTTCAGAAAGAGTCTTCTTGCTCCCGGAGATAAAACCCCATTTGCCTCTACTATAGATATGAATTTTTACTGATTGTGGCCAAGCCAGATAATTAGTTGCATCCAGTTGACTATGGTCATAGCCAGTAGAGAGTCTACAGAGGCTCCCGGAACCTGTCCGGATTCAGCAACATGCTTGTTTTCAACTTCTAAAGGGTTCATCTTCTTAAATACTTAGAAAATAACTTCTGACAACTTCAAATAACAACAAATGAAGACAAAACAAAAACTGTGTTGTGAGCCAACCTCTATGCAGCCATACCAGCTACATGAGTCACACCCAAAAGTCGGGAGAAACAGAGAAATCTCAGCCGCTCCTTGTAGACTTAACAAAACACCAATCCACTTGATTCGATCTTCAAGATGAAGGATGAGGAGACTTTTAGTCACTGAACACCCATGTCAAACTCCTTGTGGGGTCCACAATCAGATTTCTCCAAAAAATTAGGGTTTCGAACAACACACTTAAATCTGTCAGAAGGACGACAAAACCAATCCCCTTCTCTCCAGAAACCACTGACAACTGGGTTGAAATAGGTTTCTTTAACTATTCATACGATTCAGTTCTCCATACACACTATGTATGGGAAAAAAGAGAAAAGTTGAGTTTTCTCTGATACCAAGAAGAAAAACAGCCTTTTGAAAAGGATTGTTCAAAAAGTTGCAGAAAATCAAAAGGAAGTAGTAGAAATCAGGTTTCAAGAAGAGAGGAGAATAAGAAGGTAGCGGCAACTAGGGTYAAGAGAGAGAGATTTTTGAACATAACCATCTCTCTTACACCCCTAATTCCATTTCATTAAGTTAAACTTTAATAATTTACAGAGAGGTCCCTAGTTGGGCAGAAAATTAATAAACATAACACAAGAARGAATAAAGCGCAGATTAAGGCCCATTACAGCAAAGAATATAAAAAATAAAAAAAAAAAGATAAATAGTCTATGGGCCATTCAACCCATCTTCTCTACAAATACTAAGCACAATCATGTGCTACAAACTTTCTATTTTTAGAGGCCATCTCCATAGCCACTTTCCCAATAAAGCTTCATTTTTTTAGGACCAAATACCATAATCCCAAACCTCGCCTCTTTACTGCRACAAACTCTCCCAAATAACTAAGTGATCATTTTTCTCCTCCCCTAGTTCACAAAGAAAATCTCTCATCATTTTTTCTAATTTCCTAGCCTTCCTACAGGGGATCCTAAACACAGAGACATAATAGACTGATAATTTGGCAAATGTAGCCTTAATCAAAGTTACCCTTCCTCCCATAGTGATATAATTCTTTTACCAAGCTGCCAACTTTCTTTCAAATTTCTCAACAACTGGATACCAAAATCTGCTTTCCCTAGGATTCCCACCCAAAGGTAAACCCAAATAAGTCAAGGGCCAAGAAGAAATAGAACAGTCCAAAGAGTTAGCAATCAACTCAACTTCATTGTCATCCAGATTGACCCTTACTACACAACTTTTTTCAAAGTTGATCTTTAGATTGGAAACACTCTCAAAGCGTAATATTAGATCCTTAAGATTTCCCACTCTTCTTGGCTCGCTTCTCTCACAAAAAATGATAATATCATCTGCAAACTAGAGATAAGTTACAGAGACATTGTTCCTTCCGATCTTCGAACCATCTATTACCCCCTCCCTATCTGCTTTTGATATCAATCTACTCAGCACATCCGCCACCAAAGTAAAAAGAAAATGAGAAAGAGGATCACCTTGTCTCAAACCTTTGCAGATTGGAAAGAAATCCTTTACCACTCCATTCACTAGCATAGAGTAATGAACCAAAGTGAGGCAACCAATCATCCATAAGTACCATCTCTCCCCAAACCCACAAGTCCTAAGTATCTACAAGAGAAAACTCCARTCCACCATATCATATGCCTTCTCAAGGTCCAACTTGCAAGCAAAGCCTGGGCCCCCTGATTTTCTCATATCCTCTACACATTCATTTGCTATTAGGATTTGATTGGTTATCTACCTACCTTGTATRAAAGCTCCTTGATCTTGACTAATGATAAATGGTAAGACCACTATGATCCTTAAGGGTAGCAC